GTACGAGAACGAAATTTTATTCAATTTCGTCATATCGCCTCTGACTCCGTTATTCCCCCGTTGCTTCATCCTTGAACCATTCATCTTGTCTTGAGCACTACATTTTTTAAGTATACTTCTATCGATGCATTATGTATGTATCCCTGAAGTTCTGTTCTTCCCTATACGCTGTTAGGGAACACATCCGTGTCCCAAAGTATGAATAAATTGCGCATTTCTCTCTTTCCCTCCGTCCCTGTGTGCTCTTTCTTCCTCCATCCATCCGTGCGTATGCATTCGCGCACGCCGCATCGGCGGAATGCCACGCATCACCAGCCACGAGAGGCAGTCAACCTCGAAGAAGGAATCAGGTGTGGAACAAATGAATTCGCGACGGGGGAAGCGGATCAGCCGGCTCCTTAATCTTGCGGAAGCGAACGCTTCTTTTGTCGAGGAAGGAATCGCAAAGCAGGGCATTCCTGGCCAACGTTCGTGCCGCGAGATCATTTGCTTACACGAAAGGGTAAAAGGAACGGCAAAGTCCAAGATTTAAATTTTAGTTGCTTATATTAAAATTGATTAATATTAAAAATTACATAATTCTCGCGGGATATATCGGGATATCTTTTAATATAAAAATTACTCTCTAATCATTCTTTTTCTCTTTGTCTCTCTTTCTCTAGTTATGATACTTGAGAAATATGACACACACGCGTGCGTCTTGTTGTTTACATTTTATCATCCTTTGGAAAGTTGATATTTAACAATTTTTTTAAATCTCTTTCGCAGACATTAAAGTAATATGACATTTTTATTTTTAATAAACAATGTGATATCCGCTAACCGTGTATAATACGCTTTAATTAAATTATTAACAAAAACTTATTATTTCGTTTTTATCAGTATTCTGTTCATTCGTTTTATGGCTAATAGAAATATATTTAAATCGATTATTCAAAGGCTCAGTCATTTGATTATTCCGATGAAAATTAAATCACGCACGAATTTGTGAGAGGTATGCTGCAGATAAAAAAGATTTAAGGAAAATTTGCTCATTTGGGATCGGAATGAAAACATAAAATAAATAAAATCACACTGATACCGGTCAGCGAGATGGGGTTTTATTAATATTGCGAAACCGAGGCCGGTGATTCCCATATGAAATGTTTTCAATTTCCTGCTGGTAATTAAACTCGCTTTTATGCGTCTGTTCTGTTTTATGCGTCTGTTCCAACTTGTGAAATTATAATGAACGTACAATGACAAAGAGGTAAGATTTAAATAAAAATGAGACAAAATTCATCCAGCTCCTACGTAGGAAATATGGAAATCAAACATTGAAGAATTAATATCATTTAAAGAGACAAATACGCGATAATTATCGTATACAGATGAATCATGTTTAGTACTAGTTACGCAAATTATCAACGATGAAATTTATATCAATTACTTCTTTCAAAAACTTTTTGTTTTATTTATAAGGGAATGTTCGATCAAAAAAAGCACGAAACACATTTTTCTCTGATGATAAATAAATCTATTCGAAATGTATATCCCATATATACTTTTATATTATTTCGCGCGTAATATTTTTCTAGTATGTTACTCCTGTCCAATAATACAACATTCATTCATCGATTTTCTACTATACCTCGTAGCCAGAAGCGATAAAATGATTTTTTAAATAACTGCGAAGGCAAAAACAATTTAAGAATACAACTTACAATTTATATTTCAATTGCTATTGTTTTTTACTTTAAAAGTTCTTTGATTTTTCTATTACGCCGTTTGATAGTATACATCGGGATAGATTCTCGAACGTCAAGCCATCTCTCCTGCGAAGGAACCCTTCGGCGAAAGCCATCGAGGAGCGATTGCTTTCTCGAAGAAGGCGGCGACGAGAGCCTCGCTGTATCGGACGTTTCTCTTTCTATCGCGTGCACCAGCAAATAGCAAAATATCGAGGAATGCGCGAGTATACTCGAGAATCGCACGAGTGCGCGACACGGTGCGTCGTGCCGCGGCTCGTCGTAAAAAGCGGTTCAGATCGCGGCCATTTATCTACGGCGTGATTCATCTCTTTGACTGCGGTGCACGGTATCTTTAAACGTTTTACCTGCTACCGGATTCCCTGCAGCTAGTATACGATGTGCCGGCCCAAGTAACAGCCGTCACTTTGTCGGCCTTTGTCACGGGGATTATGCGCCGGGTGGCAAATTATGACGAACACCTTCACGCCCAGGACACCCTCTAATGCGTCGGACGCGAAACGAGCAAAAAGACAGGGAAAAAGAGAGAGAGAGAGAGAGAAAGCAAAAGAGCTCACATGCGGGAGACTAAGAGAGAAGGAGAGAATGGCGGCAGTGGGAGAGAGAGTTTGAGGGTCCTTTATACATCTTGGGATACGTGTTCCTTGAGAGAAAGCTCTAAATTATGCAAAAGTAGTTCCGTAGAGAACGTAACTCTAATAGAAGAGGCTATTATGATCAGAGAAGAGAGATACGACTAAACGATAGTTGAATGTGCGCTGAAATTATTGAAATCTACTTGTTATTAAGAATTCATATTTCGTATAATTGGTAAGAGAATAACTAGCTGCAGTTAAAAATGAAATTGACTGGTTGAGTACACAGTTTGTTATTCGATACAATGCGCGAATAAAAATTTATGTCTTAAAAAATAAAGAGCGAAAATACAGGATGTTGTGTTATTTTATAAAAACAGGACAATTAATTAATTAATTCAATTGCTGCGGGGCATTTAAAAAATATCAGAGAACAATAGGTAAACGATAACTCCGTTCGGACATTCAACGTTTGCGTCAGAGGTTATTACTATTGCGTCGTATTTCCGGGTTCAAGTTTTTCCGCTCTCTCTCTCTCTTCTTTTTCCGGACAGCACTCGGAGCACCCTCGCTCGTTCAGGGCTACCCCTCGGCAACTCACATTAACGAATTGATTCACGGCATAATAAAGCGGTTACGTAAAGTGGAAGCTTCCGAGTCGTCACCTTTATTTACGACCTTCCCGAAAGTTCCGATTCGTGGATTCTCGAAATCGTCGGCGCGTTGCAGCGCCGACGTTTTCCTGTAATCCGCAATGTCGCGAAAGGTACACGAAGGGACACGCTTTCGACTCGGCTTTAAGTTTGACGGTAAACTCCCTCTGGCTTTGCCTTGCGCTACGAGCATTACACCTCAGCGTTGACGAGCCATGAAGTATTTCCCGTTCGGTTCCCCTCTTTTATCCTCTTCTTTTTTATTTTATTTTATCTTTGTATGACCGTGGTATTGTGAACGCACACCGATATTTCGGAAGTTAAAATTCTCTAGCGATTTTCTACGGGTCGCAATGTGAAAAGCGAGATTATTAAAAAAAAATGTTTCGAAAAATTTTAAGAAAATAATTGACGGAAATTAGCAGTAAATTACGAATAAAATTTAATATTTGCAAATACTAATTAGTCTTTGCAGACTTCTTCGGCACAGTGCAAAGTTACGTTAAAAACCAACTTTCGATTTACACTAGCCTCGAGAACTTGAAGATAGCGTCGCTAATAACTTGTTGATATTCTTTGTAACAAAATTATGAGTTTGGGATTCAGTTTAAAAGCAGGCTTGCTTTAAAATAGATAGAAACCGACATTTCGCTTGTTTATCGCCTGTACTTATATGCGTTTCTAAAGCTTATGATTCTTTCGAAATTCGATGGAATTTGCGGGATTTCAGTTCAGTTGCAGAGATTTAATATCTCCGTTGCTCGAAATGAGAGAGCTAAACTTTCGTCGAAACGTCGCGACTCGGTTTCGAGGACTACGATGTATGACACATCAGTGTAGCCCAAGTCGGACGAATAGCCGCGAGCGTTTAGCGTTAGGCCGCGAGAAAATACGGGCCGACGATCGGCGGTCACGGTTAAATCGCGACGTCGCGGCGCGTTCCTTTCGCGGCAGCTACGCGAAGGGGAAACGAGCGAGAAGTGAGCCTCTCCTTTTTGCTCCCGTTGCTCGGTACGGAGCGGAACCCAATCCGCCGTTTGCGGCCCATTATGCCCGATCATAATTGCGTCGCAACAACGTTTCTCCTTCCTACCATCCGCGGTGTTGGCGGCAGCCTTTCATCTCGACCCGAGACCGAGACCGAGCTTCTGTTTCCGAGGTGTTTCCGCCGCCGGCTACCGTCCTGGAAGCTGGAACTTGATCCTAAGTAGTCGCTTTCGTGAAAGAGGGGCAGGAGGCCGGGGTAAAGAAGAGAGGGACGTTGTTGCGGTAAAACGCGCCGAGAACACCGACAGAAACGACAGACGACGGGTGTGGGATAGAGAGGGAGAGTGGCGCCGTGGAGCTCTTGGCGTCGTCGTCGTCGTCGTCGTCGTCGTCGTCGGGGTCGCTTTTTTTTAAATTATTCCCGCGGTTGCTCGTTTGTTACGTGGCCCGATGCGCCGGTCTGATCGACGATACGCTCGTGTAGAAATCGTCGAAAAAAGAACACGGACGGGATACCGCGCGAGAACCGAGATCGCCGTAGAATCGCCGTATCGCGTTAGTTACCGGAGGAGAATACGCGATAATATCTGAATTAAGCGATATTTGATTATCACGCGACGATCGGACAAGTGAGTTTGTATTCTTCGTGCAAGCGAGATAAGAAAAAGCAGCTAATTTAAAATTCACTCCCTTGATGACAATCTCCTATCTATGTTTACGAATCTCTCTGAATCTCAGGAAGATCCCAGGAAGGAGTGGATTTATCGAAGGTCTCTCTCAAGAGGACCATTATGATTTACCGATATGCAGAAGATATTATTGAAGACCCGATAACAGGCATTGGAGAACTGTTTAACCGGGAAATTGCCTTACTATATTTGTCTTGTGAAGATAGTCTCGTGTTAATTCGTCCGAATTGTGCTACGAGGGGAAGAGCGATCGGCCAAAATCTCCGATAGAAATAACTAAAATAGATGAGGGGGGATGTATCAAGATGAAACGATGAAGAATAACGACGCGCTACGCGCGTGTTTCAGATCGCGTTGTGTCTGGTCGTGATCCTGACGACGGTCGCCGAGGACACGCCGACGAACACAGTCTGGTTCCCTTCGGATTCGCCGCCACTCCAGAGCAACGCGATACAGAGGCTGCTCAGACTCTTGGGGAAGTACGGGTCTGACGACCCGAGGAGCCTGAAGAGAGTGTATCTGAGCAACAGGTCGATCACTTGCAACGACGGATCGCAGGCCGGTTTCTATCTACGAAAGTCCCAGTCCTCCAAACAGTGGATCGTATACCTGGAGGGCGGCTGGTACTGCTACGACCACACGAGCTGTAGGAACAGGTGGCTGCGGCTGCGGCATCTGATGACGTCAACCCAGTGGCCCGACACACGCGACGGTGAGCTCTCTCTCTCTCTCTCTCTCTCTCTCTCTCGATCTCTAATTATACGTCGCGTGCGGAGCGGAAACGATTTTCCGCTTGTGCATCATTCCCGAGCGGGCGAACGATCTCTCGCGCCCCGTCATAAATTAATTCCGAGGTCCTCCACGGACGCGTGCATTCTTAAATGCGTTCGCATTTCCTCGAGCGGTTCATGTTGATAACGCACGTCATGCGACATGGTTCAATGCGCAACTCTGTCCGCTTCGCTGTGCGCGTATAATATTTACTGCGTCGCGACGACGGCATAAATTGTATTCCTCTGTTTTTGCTCGACTCGCGTATCTCTCTCGAGATATTAACAAACCAATTTACGCCACAATCCAATGTACAAGGTATCCCACGTACATCGAATGGCACTTCGGGGTCTGTAGGTTCCACGATAAATTTGGAGTCGTCTTGTTGTCAGCAAAAGTCGCGCGAACGGCCGCGCCGCGTCTATTTCTAATCTTCAGCATTCGATATTTCTACGATCCTACACAGAGAGAACGATTTAGTTGAATCTAACAAATGCTTATTTCGAATAGTCGAAATAAAGGTTTCCGATTGATCGAACAAAATTTTGTTTGACGCAACAAAAACATTTCGTTGGTACTAAGCTGCGACAAAATATTTTTGTTGCGCCAAACAAAACTTCGTTCGATCAATCAAAAAATTTATTTGGACTATTCCAAATAAGCATTTGTTAAATTCAACGAAATCGTTCTCTCTGTGTGTGACTATACGGAGTCACGAATGAAATTCTTGCCGACGAGGCTCAAATTACGGCATCGAGAAGAATAACGAAGCAAAAATTTCAAACAATCCGCGTATTCGCACGCTTTTCCATTAAGAAGATAATTCGCCGATAGTTCGTTCTTCTGGCAAACTTAAAGACCAACGCGTGCGATTTTCCGTCGATTTGTGCCCGCCGCTGGCAGTCGAATTAAAAATACTCACGACTCTCTTTCAGTGGGCGGACTGCTCTCGCCGAATGAAGACGAGAATCCCTTCTGGCACAACGCGAATCACGTGTAGGTATTGCCCGTCTCACACGATCGATCTCGCGCGCGCGGTCGTTCCATCGCCAAGCCTTTTCGTTAACATCGCGCTTTTTCATCGTTCACAGTTTCGTGCCTTACTGCACGAGCGACAGCTGGAGCGGCACCAGAGCCACGCCGGAGGGCATGTTCTCGTTTATGGGAGCAGAGGTGCTGGTCCAGGTCGTCCGGGACTTGATTCCCCTCGGTCTCGAAGGCGCACGCTCCTTGCTGCTGGCTGGTAGCAGCGCGGGCGGCACCGGTGTCATGCTGAACCTGAATCGCATTCACAACCTGGTGCATCATGAATTGGGTATGTCACGTCGTGACCGACTTATCAGTCGTCAATTTATCAATCAATTATCCGGTCAAACGGTTGTCGTTATTAATTGTCGTTGTTATTCTCCCGCCGAGCAATAAATGTCCGTCGTCCGTCGGCCCGCGATTTATATCACGTTTGTCAATATCAGAAATAATTGTTATCGCGTATTTATCATAAATCAATGATGCCATCATAATATCGTTGTCGATATCGTTGTCGCTTACGTACGTGAATAGCGAGATATTTTACACCATCAATCAAGCCTCTCACTTGTATTGGGTGAGTGCAAAAGTTCGTGCGGAGTTTGTGAGTAAAAGTCACACAGTGATTAGGCAAACAAAAATCTTTATTCAATCAATGATATATTCTCCATCGTTTTCTTTTCCCAACGTTCTGGCAGCATACGGATGCCTCGATCATAAAAACTGCGCGGTTTAGATTCGAAGAACGAAGAGACGCCGTTTTTTAAAGCCTCCAAAGAGTCAAAGTTTTTTCCATTTAAATAATTTTGCAATGACCGGAACAAGTGATAGTCAGATGGTGCGATATCAGGAGAATACGGTGGATGCGTTAAGACATCCCATTTCAGGCTCTTCAGTTTGCGCAGCGTCTTTTTCGAAACGTGTGGTCTGGCGTTGTCGTGATGAAAGACGACTCCCTTGCGATTTGACAAAATCGGACGTTTCTCTTTTATTTCTCGATTCAGATTGGTTAATTGGCGACAGTACTTGTCCGAATCAATCGTTTCGCCAGCGGGGAGAAGCTCGAAATAGATTATGCCCTTGCAATCCCACCAAACAGAGAGCATCACCTTCATCGGGTGCAAACTGGCCTTTGGCATTGCGTCACCATGCTCACCTGATTGTTTCCATGTCCGTTTGCGCTGAACATTGTTGTAGAGGACCCATTTCTCATCGCCCGTCACTAGTCGATCCAAAAACGACTCGTTATTGAGCCGCCCGAGTAAAGAAACGGCTGCAGAAATTCGCTTGATTTTGTTCTTCTCGGTCAGCAAATGGGGCACCCATATATCGAGCTTCAAATCGAATCCCATCTTTTTTAAACGCCGAAAAGCGGTTGATCGGTCAACGTTTAGTGCTGTAGCAACTTCTTCTGTTGAAATTCGCGGATTATTGAGCACTAAAGTACGCAAAACATCGTCATCAATGTCAGAAGGTCGACCAGAGCGTGGCTCGTCTTCAAGGTTAAATTCTCCGCGCCGAAATTTAGCAAACCATTTTTTCACAGTTCGTTTAGCTGGTGCTTCATCCTGATAAACATCCTGAATGTTTTTTACGGCTGCGGCAACGTTTATTCCCTTCCGAAACTCGTAAAGCATAACATGCCGTAAATGCACCTTATCGATACTCATTTTTAAAGTGATATTTCTCGAAGCAGTTTGTATGAAAACAAATGATTTTTTTTTTAATAACAGCTGAAGACGTCACCTTTCCAACGTTATATAATATGTAGATGGAAGTATCAATGACAACACTTTACGACGCTTATAACTCCATCTATTGAAACTCCGCACGAACTTTTGCACTTACCCAATATAATGTACATGTTTCGAAGTTCGAATATTTCAAAGTTTACGGACAATCCTCTTTCGAATTCGAGCTCTTCGATTTCGAATCGAGCTCGAAGAGCTCGAGGCATGGTCTCTCAGTGGTCGTCGATGTTACGCGACTAGAAAATGATAAGACAGGATACGTCTATTCGCGTAGGTTTGAAGCACGTCGACGTGCGCGGCGTATCGGATTCCGGATGGTTCCTCGACAGGGTGCCCTACTCTCCGAACGGCCTGGCGTCCATCGGCGCGATACATAAGGGAATGGATCTGTGGAAGTCTCGGATACCTCATAATTGCGTCGCTAAGTACCGTACCGAACCGTGGAGGTGTTTCTTCGGTTATCGACTTTACCCGACCTTGACCGGTGAGTGAATCTGACACCGAGTGAATGCTTCCCCCGAGAGAGAGAGAGAGAGAGAGAGAGAGAGAGAGAGAGAGAGAGAGAGAGAGAGAGAGAGAGAGAGAGAGAGAGAGAGAGAGAGAGAGCGAGAGAGAGAGAGAGAGAGAATCCAGCTAAAACCCTCGTGTCTATATTACCCCCAGCGCCATTGTTCGTTTTCCAATGGCTATTTGACGAAGCCCAGATGTCAGTCGACAACGTGGGCTCACCGGTGACGAAACAACAGTGGGATTACATACATAAGATGGGCGACAGTATGCGGCGTACATTGACGAACGTCACCGCGGTATTTGCCCCCAGCTGCATCAGTCACAGCGTTCTGACGAAGAAAGACTGGAACATGGTGAAAATAGACGACGTCTCCTTGCCGCAGGCGCTGCATTGTTGGGAACAGATGCCGATTGGAAATCAGCGCAACAAGTAAGTAGTCGACGTGGAATTCACGGTGACGCGGTAGCCGAGCCAGAGAACGGAATCGACGTTACGCGTTGTCCGCCCGAGAAAATATATTTGCCGAGCCAGTTACACCGTGATAAATAAGCTATAACAGAGCCAAGAACGAAGGAGAAGATAACGTTTTCCGTTCCGCAGCACTACTCGCTCGCAGATCGAGACCAATCAACCGTGCGCCAAGTCGCTAAGGAAGCTGCTACGTTCCGGCGCTACGAAAGGAAACGGCACCTCGGTGGAAAGTAGAAGAAACCACGCTAAATCTTCCACGAAAACGCAAAAAGCACGATCGGCCGTCGCTGGCAAAACGCAGAAGAGGAAGACGGCCTCCGACTCGATTCAGGAACAGGAGAACGAGAACGGGCGAAGGGGGAAAAACAAAGGCAAGAGAAGAGAGAGGAACAGGGGGGAGAGGAGAATGAAGAAAGAGAAGCATGAGCGAAGAAAAGCCGCCGGTACAGTAGAGCAATGCGCAAACATGTTTTGAATCCTGTTCAATAAGAGAGTCGACGTTCTCCGGATCGCTCCGGGACGCGATGTTTCATGCATGAAATCGACCGAAGGCTCAATCGGCAGCACGATTTATCATTGTTATTATTAATATTATCTGATAACTCATCTGAAAATCATCAGCTAAACGAACAAATTGGTTTTCTTTTTGTTTTGTAGGACATTCCTTTGTAGATCCTTGCCAGATCCAGTGTCAGTACGATTCAAACGATCAAATGAAAATCTTTTCAGGACGCCGCAAAGCAGAACGCGGTAAGCAGAATAACGGCAACAACCATACAGCCATGTTTAACGGCACGCGGCCGCAACGATCGGTAATACCGTCGGGCAAACGGAAGTGCGTCCAGGGTTGCCATTTCCGTTTGATCGAGCACTGTACTTGGCCGCAATGTAACCATAGATGCCCCAAGCTTCATAATCCCTACACAGGCGAGGAAATGGACTTCATCGAACTGCTCAAGAGCTTCGGCCTCGATATGAAAAGCGTCGCGAACGCGCTTGGTATCGACATACACACCCTAAATAGTATGGATCACGAGGAATTGCTGAATCTTCTGACACAACGCGCCAACTAGCGAAGGGTGTTCAGTTTCCTCGCTCATTGTACCGATGACCTCTGCCGTCTCCGATGACACTATCGAGGTCAGAGCTCGATATCTACGTACAATCTCCAGAGTACCATGTCTGAGGTGGTGACGTGGATGCTTCATATCGGCGTGTTACTATAGTAGTCAGTATTAGAGTACTTAAATTCAGCAGGATAGGTACACATTACCACTAGCATCAGCTATTAAAAACGATGCAATTAAAAACGATGAAAAGTCTCGTCTGAGAGAGATCAGAGAAATACGAGAGCCAAGCCGAACAGTTGCAAGAAGGAAGAGAAATAAAGCGGTTGTGAAAAATAAAAGAATAAAATTCACACGTTCTCTACGGTACAAATTCTACGATACGAATACAGCATCTTGATGAATGGTCTGATCAATTATTTAGTTGAAGCTCGAAAGAACATGATATTCCTTTGGAGCTGAATGAAGAGACTGCCAAGTGACTGCCGATAACTTAGTTACACTCACGGAAAAGAATGCGAAATATCACTTTCTTCTTCCGTGCGACAAGCAGCATTTAACACAAGCATAGTTGGCACGTTTGGGACAGAGACGCATTGCGCGACTACGTTTTACCAAAATGAATGTACATAACTTCATAGAGAGAGAGAGAGAGAGAGAGAGAGAGAGAGAGAGAGAGAGAGAGAAAGAAGGAGAGAGTTAGTGCGTTTGCAGAACTCATTTCTCAGATAAGACGGAGCGGGACAAGATAGCGGGAATTCTGATTGACGTTTGCGCCGAGGAGCGATGAAGATGAGAGTTCTGGCATGCAGAAAGTGTATATTTTATTGTAACTGCACGACTACTACGAGTATATCTTAATTTATTATAGTCCGTAGGCGAGATAATCGAGTATGTACCTATGTTATACGAATTAATTCGACGTTCACGGCGCGATTTCACGGCCGAAATCAGATCGGACGGGAGAGTGTGTCGTCCAACAGAACCTTCTCAACTTCGTACCTGTTCGAATGCAATGCTTTTCATTTCGATCGTCCTCTTATTGTCCTTTGTCGAGAGATCCTTTCCTCGGAACGTATTTTTCGTCAGTGTATTTCGCTTTGCTCGTAGCGTAAATAGATCGATCGCGCGAATTCAATTTACCGTGTCATTTTAAGAATCTGCGTCGCACACACCCACGAAAGACTGCACAAAGGATCTTTCAATGGCAAACGGGACTGATTTTACGTTATTTTATTTTATTTTATTTTATTTTTTTTTATTTTTTTTTTTCTTACGTAACGTCGGAACGGACATTCGCCGGAGTGAACAACGGCTGACCGACCGATCAAGCAGCTTCATAGACTGATTAAATTATCTACCTCAACGAATCAAATCGTATTAACGTCCTTCATGTACTATAATCGTCAACTTAGAGCATCACGATAAGAACAGTTACTGTAAGTTCACGCGCGTAAAGTATATATTGTACCTATGTCTCGAACTCTGTAATATAGCTGCCAACATAATGTTTATTTATTTAACGTAGCGTAGAATCCGCGATTGCAGCGGCGCGTAATTCTCAGTCGCGTGCGCGATGTGTAACGTACAATGATATTCGGAAGAAATTTATTTTGGGATTTAATTTATTTCCGTAAATTATGATCCTGTATAGACGAATACAATCCGAATAATAATCAAGGGTACCATATTACGAAGCTTCCACTGGCATCCACGTATACCGTAATACGTACTGTTATCTTCAAAAGAATATGACACTGTAAATAAATTGTATATCTGTTGTACACCACAGAGAATCTACGATAGTCAATTATTCGTGTTACCTCGACCTACATAGGCCGTCTCAGCGAAGTATAAATATATTTACGCAGACCTGACGCACAGTTCACTTATAAATATTTATAAAGATATTTAAAAATATATATTTTCGTTTAAATATATATATTCAAGTATATCTATATAAATATCTATTTATATATAAGCATCGATCCAAATAACCATATCTCTCTTCTAGAAGATCTCGTAGAGGAATCCCCTTCGTCGCAAAATCTCCATAAAGCCATGCTCAGCGGCAAGTTGACGAATAACGTTTATACAAGAACGTTTATTGCGCGCACGTGATCGACAGACGAACGACGCGATTTACAGCGGCGGGGTACCAACCCCGCCGAACGACAGCTCAACACGCCATTCGGAATTGTCATAAAACGTCATCGATAAATCCACTGCTACCTGTACGTAACGATTAGCTTGTTTGCTCTCACGACGCGTCCCTCCTGACACGATGTCCCCAACGCGCGATGCACGAGTGCGATAATTCAATGTACAGTCTGAATCCATCCTCTCAGCCGGCCGGACTCTCGCATCCATCGCCGCTTCTCCCTCGAAACTATATATTCCACAACGTATACGCAGGAAATGGTATTTAATGGCGGACAAGTCAGCCCTGGGCCCGACCCCGGCTCTGTGCAGCCGATAGGACGACCAGAGAGCCGATGATGACGAGGGACGCGTAGAAATGCAGAGGAGAGAAGGAACGAGCGTTATGGTCCCTCCTAATGGCAATTGGCGTGTCCGAGGAAGTGATGGAAGGATGGCACAATGTGTCCCACTTGAATGTCCCATAAGCGGGTTCTATATTAAACTGCTCCGGTTACCGGCCGTTCGTTCGACTGTCCATCGTTCAGTCACTGGGCTGTCAGCCGAGAATCATCGCCGGCAAGGACGCCTGTATTCGTTTCCCGCACGATTTCCATCCCGCGAACTCGGGGCTTTCCCGATGGACGATAATGTTTGACTCGATCGAAAGGTCGTGACATTTCGCGCGTGACGGAAGTGCGTGGCCAATCGGAAGATCCGATCGTCATCGTCGGACGCGCGGAGGTCGAAGCAGAATCGGCACCGAGATCACGCCCGCACAGGGTAATTTTTCATACGCGGAGATAGCGAAGAGAGAATGAATTTTGCGACACGGAATTACACACCGGTATTATCGATGACGTAGACAGTCTCTTCGTCGACGAGTCTCATCGAGTCAGATCTCTGAGCTGCTTTCGGATTCAACGATCTAAACGTACGAAGGCAAAGAGCAAAGTTCGATGCATTTTCCGAAAGTCACCTTTTACCCTCGTAATTTCTGACACGTTCTGTAAGATTAGAATAAGATAGATTCGCGTAACCGATCAATAGTGAGAAGTTATTTATCGTCGTTTAACAAACATTTTTACACGACGGAGCAATTGTATAAGTTAGTTAATCGCAAATCGCATAGAGACTCCGTGGAAGCCCTCGTATCAATCGTTATGCTCAAAGAGATCAGGAGCTGTCTGATTGGAAGACGAATGCACAATTGCTGACGATTGCTGACACCGGACGATCGCAATCGGATCTTGAGATAACTTTGATCGAATCCTCCTCGCTTTCTTTTCAATCATGTTGAGAGGATTTGTCCTACTGCTTCTTCACATCTTCTGCGATATTGGTGAGCGTACGAACTGACTACTGCATTTGTATCTACATTTAATTCCCTTCGTTTTAGTTTTATCATTTTTTCCCACAAATCTATCATTTATAACATTTATTGTGCGTTTTATCCATTATTTCCTTAAATAAATTTAATTAGATTGTTATATGAACCGTAAAAATTAACCAAAGTTTTGGTTCCATCGAAATTATGCCGCTCTGATGGAATCCAATCAAAAGTTTGTTTGTTGAAGGATACGATCGACTGAACTTTCTTTCTTACTTTCGCGGAAAACAGCATTCGTTCCCCTCTCGCATAACGTCTCTCAATTTATCGTACTTTTAGCACTGGCAGCGCATTGCGGAAAAGTATGGCTCACGGTTTCCTCTTTGTGGAGGCCAATGCCTGACTGTGACAAAATGGTTGATGCCGAATTGGAAGTAAATTGGGAACTGGATTGTCCGGAGGAAGCAGGATATCCAAATACCATCAAGGTGTTCACTGCTGACCCAGCACATAGTAATAAGTTTTGTTTACTTCTCTCTTGCGTGATGTATATCGCTGCTGTGGAATATTAAGAAACAAAATCTATCGTGGACAAATCGCTATGCCTATAATTATCTAGAAGAATGCTAGAATGGTACTATTTATGGAGCACAGAACATATTTTCTCGACAAACTTACAAATATTATTAATCTCATTTCGCTCTTGGACTTCCATGATCGCTTAAATACAAATCACCAGCTTATGCGCGTTAAAACGCTTCGAGCTCGTCATTAAAACTTCGCTAAGCGCTGATCGCTAAGTCTCTTCCACCTATCGCGTCCAATTTGAAAATACTGATCCGCTCGGAATGGATCCCTCGATAGTTTTGAATCACTTTCAATCCGATTTATCTTATAGAATGAATCGTCGCGAGACCGAACGTACAGCCCTCAATCACTTTTCCCTCCCTCCCTCCCTCACTTTTCCACCGTCCAAATCCATCGAACTTCGAACGTTGAAAAACTTGTGGACGCAACCACGGACCTTATTTTTTTTCAGACAAGACTCTGAAGCCTAAATTGATCTTGACTTCCTTGCAACATCCTCGCGGATATTACAGGACAAACATCACAGTAGGTCGTCCGCCGTTACCGGGGGGTTGGGACACGAAGGACGGGGCAACCCTTGCGGGATCTCATTGCCTGAAGCATTACGCAGCACTTTACAAGGATGGTGTTGTGTACGCCAGTTCTTGCTTGCAAATCTGGCCAACGTGGATGTATGATTTGAGGTATCGCGATTGATAAGCGGTATTCGCAAAGATTCGAAAAGTCAAGAAAGAATCGATTACAAATATCAATCTGCTACGCAAAGAATGGAAATGTTGTTCACCGTTATGCTAATTTGTCGATCGATAGCAACGGCGCGTGAAAAGTGCGCTTCGCGATGATTAATGCGTTTGATTAATGCGGAGGAAATGTTTCGTTATGTTGCCGAAGGAGACAACTCGGCAGGCTTCCTATCGGGAGCCTGATGATACCCGGGACACACAATTCCGGCTGTTACAAGCACGGCGACCTGACGCGAAAGGACGCCTTTCAGCGGTACTTGCTGACGCAAGATCGAGACGTATGGACGCAGTTGGTGCACGGCATAAGGTATCTGGATATCAGGGTTGGATATTACCCGTCGATACCGAACGGCACCGCTGTCGACGAGGAGGGCTACCATGTGAGTAGATTCTGGATCAACCACGACGTCATTCGCATCACACCTCTTTCAGAGGTCTTAAGAGACGTGAGGAACTTTCTGGACGTGACGAGCGGCGAGGTAGTCATTATGGATTTTCATAGGTAAGTCACGCGATTTTATCCGAAAATTATCCGAAAGTATGCGATATGACGCACACGTACGTCATCAACCGTCAAATCCGCGATTTTCCGTTCGCTCTCGACGTATAACCCGTGTTATTGACTCTACGATTTAGTCAAACAAGTGGTTGTTAAAAAAATCATATTAGGAGAGGATCATTGCACAAATTCTTTGTGTAGCTAACGTTTAACTGGCTAACGTTAGTTAAGTTGCCGTCCACCCCTAATTGGTTTCCAACATGATTCAATATATGAAAAAAAGAAAAGTGAAACAAAAAATGGGAGAAATAGAAAAAATTAAAAAGTAAAAGAAATATTTGTTTTTTTCAGCGCCATTTGTCGTAATAGTGTTGTCTTGTTGATAAATATATTACACGATATTTAAGTTGAATCTTCACGTGAAACTAGCAATGCAGAAATTATCTATTTCTAACAAACACAGGTTTCCCGTGGGCTTGGAGGGTAAGCCAAGCAGACATCGAAAATTGATAACTATTTTACACCGAGAATTCCGAGGTTTGATTTTGAATCGAGACATAGGAGTCGACGGTCTGGGACCTACGTTAAATGACATCTGGTCGTCCGGGAAGAGAATAATTATCTGTTATGGCGACAAGTACACAGTAAATGGTAAGATTTCTTATGTCTTGTTTCTCAATATGAAGGAACATCCATGACGAGTATTTCTTTGACTAAAACAATAAGAAACAATCAGTTAGAAAAAACGGAGATTTGGTTGAACATATTTTTAAAGAGCTATTTAAAAAAATATTAATTATCTCCGCGCGACAGTGTCGACTAGAAACTATATATCAAAAGTTATCTCACTCAAAATGAAAGAATAGGTTTTTTAATTAAATTCATTGTCAGCACACATGTTGAATGGCGTTAGAACCATTTAACTTTCAATCGTTTGTAACTATCAATCGTGTACGACACCGCACTCAATTCTCTTTAATTTAGAATACGCCTGGCTGTGGCCGCCCTTGACGCAAGTATGGGGCAATCAACAAACCGTGGAGGGTCTGTTCAAGTACTTGGACGAAGTGATTCTGGAGTTAAAAGCACCCAGGAATAATCAAAATCCACTGTGGGCGGTAATGGCGGAACTGACGCCGTTTCCGTTGGATATTTTCTTTAATTTGTCTGGCGGACTCCGGCAAATGGCCGACTCCGTTAATCGAAATCTCACTGTCAAATTTCAAACAGAATGGTGGAAAGAGACGAACATAGTTGCCACCGACTTCTTCCTTGGCAACAATCTGATCGACGTCTCGATACAATCGAACATAAAGAAAAGCAACATCGCGCAATGGCGATTATAGCTCAAAAGGAGCAAGAAAGATTCGTTTCGATATAAAACAATTGTTGTTTTTACTACATCTATTGTATCAATTATACGAATATTACCGACGATTCATTTATACGAAATTTATAAGAGGAAGAGAGAGAGAGAGAGAGAGAGAGAGAGAGAGAGAGAGACCTGTCAATAGCAAATTGCAACTTGTGCTCTACGAATCCCTATCGACAACATTCACTCGCGTGAACACGTGAATATGTAAATCAGCGAACGATAACGGCAGGTATATATTTCCATGTAATATTCACACCATCTCGAATTTCTTTCAAATTTTTCATTCGCACGTATTGTATTTGCCTCGACGAAAATATTTATTTAAAACCCCAATTTTTTCCTATCGAATGCTATTCTCTTTGCAACGTTGTATTGCTCCATGCATAATGCATAAGTCGCGAGGATTTTTGTCATAGAAATAACTAGATGTCAAAATAGGAAACAAGGTGTTTCGCAAAATATGAATATCGACGCACTTTTATAGGTACAAGAGAAATAAAAACATGATACGAATGTCAGATCGGCAGGTGTACACGTACTATATGTACGATTTAATAAATAACCATGCGATTTAAAAAAAACTATGCGACGGAGATGTGATCGCTTCGCTCTGGCGCGATTTCAGCAACGTTCCCTACCTTTTGTTTGCTGCCTACATTCGAGGCAAGACGCGTTCCGCGACGCGTTTAAACTTTCCCGCTCACCTGCGCATCGGATTATCTATCGCCCGTTCCTGCATTTGACTTGCTAATGAGATCTCCGTCGGTTCAGACAAGATCACGGATACCGGTGAGTACATAGCCAGTAGCTTGCCGGGTCTCTCTCTCTGCGGACGCGAAGGGAACGTTAAGCAGATAAGGTTGCGAGACAATGCTGGCGGACGCGTCTGCAAACGAGGCGAAAGACGAGCTATGGGCTATATACGCTTGGTGGTCGTGCGTGCTCGTATTGAAGATGATGTCGCTGACCTGGTTCACCGGGCTGATTCGAGTAAAGAAACAGGTAGAACTTAGCGGATACTTTATAATCAGATGCGCTTGTACGTCATTGAGTTTGTTTATCCGATCGAATTCCCGTGATACGAATACATACATAAACATATAGAAGGCCGCGACAGCGAGTAAGAAATCGTATATATATTATAGCTAATCTTGGCTTGATTCGTAGAATGAAGAAAATTATAAATATGATAATCAAAGATCGGTCACGACTGCGCATTAACGCAAAAACAAAAGGTCGTATTTTTCCTCTATGTATGTATATCGTGACAAAGCTAAAGAAGTAATCGGCTTTTCTGACTGTATTGCCGATTAATCGTCCAATTCTGAGAACGACTACGTAATCAACAAAATTAGTATTCCATAAAACATGTATACATATGTATGTATGTATGACTTCATGATGAAATTTAAATAGATGCAGTGTTTTCCTTGAAAAATATATTTTGCTTTGCTACATTCGATTGCAACTTCGTATCTAATATAAAATGTAGGAAGTCTGTATAATCATCCATAAAATATTGCAATGTGAACTGCTACTTATGAAAATGAATGATAAAGCGATATTATCTCCATAACGCATAGCAAATAACTAGTTTTGCTACTACGAGTAAATTGACTCACCAGCTGTATTTCCAATATATTTCCTTGTTGTTTGCTGCATGTCAATTGAATCTGCAAATGAATACATTTATACGATTATCTTTTCTGTAGAATAGACTCTTCTTTTGAATCGCGTCTTTTTATATAATAAGAAATTTTTATATAATAATAAAGAAAAGATAATTATGTAAACGTATCTATTGAGAAAATTTATTCATTAGTCGCATTGTCAATTCGTTTGCGTCATTGTTCAATCAAGGTTGACGCTCGCTTGGAGATGGCCCATCTCCGCGAAACGATTGACAAACAACTAATTACGATCACAACGCGTCAATTAACGCGACATTCGATTCGTCAATGCCGGCGTTGTTTAAATACGCGATGCGATCACTTTGTACGGGTAAATAAAGCGCGAGATTCATTGACCGTTCCGCGCGCGAAACTTTATTCGGCAGTTCCACGATGTTCGTTAATAGCGCGATAATTATGGAGTTAACATATTCGACCGACTGAGTTTCGACACTCCCGATGTTCGTTAATGGCGTGATAATTATAGAATTAATATATTCGGCCGATCGAATTTTGACACTCTCGACGTGAAATACGTGTGTGTCATATTACTTGGGACGCTTAAATATAAATATAATATCAGGAGTAGACACGCGGGTTACAAATTATGGAAACCACGATTAATCGCGGGACAGAAACGTTGTTTAACATTACGATAATCGTCCGATATTATATTCCCGATACTTTCTACATTACGAATGCAAAAGAGATTACGTGACATGTAAATAAAATATCGATTGATAGCTGATTATTATTATGTAATGTTATGTGTAATTATTATTGTGTAACGTTAAACAACACATCGCAAGTATTGCGAGCTGCTAATACATTCAATACTATTAATATATTATACAATCATTGTTTTATTTTCCCATATTAAAAGTATAAATTTTAATCGATTCATGATCACAATAAGTTTTTTTTCAAAGAAATTGAAAAGTGGAAGCTGAAAACGTTTATAAACATTTGTCGAACAATTGCGACAATTATATAATTTTCTTGGGAATAAAACACTTGAGAGATTATGTAAATTACTCATAAAAACTGATTGCTACATTATCTATAGATGAATTAATGAATCTGTAAGTTCGTGATTTGTTTCACATACATAATTTTGTATTATCTTTTGCACATCTGAAATTATTTATTATTTTTATCATCAATAAAATAATCTCAATCGTGTTTTTATTCATAAAGTCTCATAAAATTTTACATGTACATTACTTCAGAAGTAACTACAAATCACCATGAAATTTTTTAGTTTAATTCTGGTAAACTTTTGTTCTTGATGAATTAGCCGCAAGCAGGACGCAATTAAATCACAATTCCCCCTCTCAAAAATTGTAAACGCAGCAAAGTTTCACAGTAAAATTTTCAATTAACTTTTGAGTTATCGTAGCAACGTGCAACGTGAAACACAGCGTAAACACAGATGTAAATGAAATCGATCCTGGAAAATTTCGAATTAAACTTGGCTGCAATCTCAAAACAGATCTTTTTCTCGATCGCGGTACTTCATCACGCGTGACGTACGCAATAAAATAAAAATGAGAGGTAGAATAGCTTGCGCGCGAAATAAAAGCTGTCGCGAGCGTGCAGTCAATTAAAACCTTTTTCGTTCGTAGTAGAACTTTCAGTCGAATGACAAATAGGACGTTTGTTCCAGATAAATTTTCACGCTTGATTCAGACCAATCTCTTGTCCTGCGCGATTTTCTTTTTCGTTCAATTATTATCGCGGAGAAAAATCGTCATACGTAGTAGTAATAAATCAACAAATAAATCTAGTCGTTCTTCGTATTCATAACAAAAGTGCTTTGTCGTATATACACAGACATGAACTATAGTTCAGTGTCTAATTTAATCAGTCTTATAATCGCGTAGGTGATTCATAGCGAGGAAGACAGAATGTGGATGCTCAAACCGGACATAATCTTATGCCCAACCGGCGATGGCCATCCTGACGTGATTCGTATCCGAAGTGCTCACAGAAAAGATCTCGAGACCGTTTTACTTTTTCTAGTTTTCTCGCCACTCTGGCTGAACGTCGAAACGTGTAGATCTACAGTGAAGATCTTAATACCGAGCTTCTCGCTAAGTAGTATACTTTATACCATACTACATATGAATCTTATACAAATGTCCTCCTTTTACAAAGATGCCTTTTCTATAATTCTATGTCTTATATTGACTTATATATGCGCGATCGCTATCGTGAGGTGTATATTTATTATTGCGTTATATAATTTTTAATTAAGAGCACTCATGCGAAGAAAAAAATATGCGACAGTAATGTGTTGCATCAAATGCGCGATATATATATATATATACTTTTCTCATATATTCCACATATATATCATACTTAGCCTGTTAAGAAATTTCTCTCACGTCTTTGTGTATTCTTTAAACGCGCATGTATTCTTTAATAAATCTTTTTCTTTTTTTATGAAAAAAGATGATTTTGTAATCGACTAAATCACTACCGTATATATTAGAATAAACAAATATATTATGTACCAAATGAACATAAATAAATAATTGTTTCTTTGATTATTTTAATATATTCATTAACATTATTTTTTATCACATTAACATATATTCAATGTTATATCAATATGTAAATTTATAATAAGAAAAATTCTTGCTGTATATTTTGTTAACGCTTTCAGCAAGGCAAGTTGCAGCATATTATTCAAATTAATTGTATGTATGACTAACTATGCATGATTTGTGTATTATTTCTTATAATGATATCTTAGTGCGTCAGAATGATCTCAGAGAGTTTAATCTTCAATCTGTGTTATTCAGTCTTCAACAAGTCGATCAAGCTGACGTTGAGGTAAGTCGTCATACATATTACATACAATTTCATATATACGTACATAATGTGTACAATTGTAATGGTTCGTGGTTGTAATGGTTAGTGACGTATTTATTAAAAATATCAGAATTATTTATAGCAAGGAAAATGTTAGAGAGTCTTGATATGCATCCCAGTGAACACAATATTACATGTAACATACTTGTTAGTTGTAATTTCCTACTCGAGAACTGTTATACAACTGTTATATAACGCATGTGTTATGTTTGCTGAGATAATATTGATTTTTCACAAAAGGATTCGATATTACGCCATTGGCTTGTTCTATATTCGCTGTCAGTAATTTTCTAATGATATTTTTGCTACAATCGACGCATAAAATTTATTTTTAGCATTCTCGGCAATAATTCGCACACCAAATTTCTTTTTGACGAATCGGAGGAATAAAACGTAACGTACGATTTGGAGTGCAAACTACCGCACAGTGGGCCAGAATTCCAGAAAAGTGTCAAAAAATATATTTTTCGACTGTCTCCGGATTTAAACAGATATGTGTCATTAACATTATGTAATCATTGAATATCGTTAATTTTATTATGATTATAGAATTAAATAAGTATTAAATAAACATTTAATTATTAATTCATTTATTATATTTTATAATCCTTTTTATTATGTATGTATGTGTGTGTTTTATTACATAACTATATCTAATAATAATATATTTAACATTTTTTTGGCATTTGATATTAATTGCTATCAGAACTGCTATCGCTATCTAGAGTTAAGCATGTAGGAGCATAGGAGTAAAATGTTAAATATATTATTATTAGATATAGTTATGTAATAAAACACACACATACATATATAATAAAAAGGATTATAAAATATAATAAATGAATTAATAATTAAATGTTTATTTAATACTTATTTATAATATTATAAAAGATGTCAAACATGTTTTGCGGTCAAGAATTTTTGTTTAATTATCCAAAAGACAAGATGCAGGTGAATGATACAGAAAACAATGTCAAAAGAAAATTTTCAATTATGCTTGTAAGTTTGCTTCTGCACATAATGAGCGTTAGTTAGTAGTCTTCTCAAAGAAATATAATATAGTTTAAGGATAAGAATTTTACATGGCTTAAAGAGATTGTCATAATTCTTGTGCTACCAGTCGTTAGTGTGAGTCGTATTCGAAGTATTTATAAAAACCCTGTTTTCATTATATATATATATATATATACATACATATATATATATATATATATGTGTATGTGTGTATGTATCGATAATTTGTCTCAATATTCGTACTTAATATTATGACTTGTCGATAAATAATCCTAGTTTTCAAATTTAAATATTTTGATTTTTTGGGACATTGCGTGTCCACCAACATTGCAATAATTATTTTGTTCTAGCTGTCGTAAAAGCTGTCGTAATAGCAAATAAAAGCAGACGATCTTTTCTGGATATTAAAGTACGAAGCATCAGTTACAAAACCGATTAAGTCCAATCGACGAGTCACGACGAGTACGTTTTCAAAAATCGATATGTTCTGAAAGATAGTATTGATATTTTCGTGCAAGCGAACTAAATTTTGATGCGTTATTATATGGTAATAAAATTATTTTTTTATAATTTATTATATACTATTAGAAAGAGGAAGAGTCATAGAATTTCTTTATATAATAACGATTATTATTCATGTCTATTTTATAGCTTGTTTTATTCGATAAAAATATCATTTGTATCAGTTAAATATGACAATCGATGGCATTTGTAAAAGACGTCAACTTTGTGAATATCTTGCGGTCTTAATATTTGTCTGAGAGAAAAATCATTTTACATTTCATCAGTTTGACATTAATATTATCAAATAAACATGTATTTATTTAAATCCAGAAACAGTCAAAAAATGTATTTTTTGACACTTTTCTGGAATTCTGGCCCACTGTGTACCGTAATGCAATGAAACGCTCGACACTTCATTCAGCGCTCCAAACGGCTTGTTCTATGGGATCTCACGTTAGATGGTTTCTTAGCGATATTTTACTACAACAAACGTATAAAACTTACTTTTGATATTGAATTGTGCCTGAAACTTGCCTTCGATGAGCCACAATTGCGGAAAATCACGGAAAGGCTGCTTGATGCCGTTTTACCTACGCCATGATACGTTATCGAAATGAACACGGCAGTGGTTGAGTTTTTCGAAGTTGAGATGACGATCGTATAGTGCATATGTTCATTCCAATTATTCGAGATTCACAAAACCTTGTCGCTATTTGACTCTTTTTGACTTTTTTCATGTCTTAAGTGGATTTTGAAAGCATAATCAAAAAGTATTCAATATAAACTAAATAAATATAGTATATTTTGTAAAATACAAGTATATATTACACTGTGCATAGATATAATTTGTTTCGGTAGTTTTAAAGATGAACACCGGAGTGTTACTGGTGTTACTGGTAGATTGTAGGGTTCCGTTTCACGTATATGCACGAATTTATCTATAGTTTATGTCACGTATACTATAAAAAAGTGCGCATATGCGTGATACGGAACACACCCTTAGTCATGCGCACAGATCTACTGTTGTGTGTTTGTGTCTACTGCGCATCGCTGTCTCATTATTGAGTCTGTAACATATAGACATAACGTATATCTGAAGTCGTACATAACGATGGGGAGTTCTCGAATTATGTCATATATTTATGATAAATTTATTTTTACAACCAGATATCAATTGGATATGTCTTGGAGATATGTATAAAAAATTATCTTACAGATATGCAAACATCAGTCCGTTTTAGAGGTTAGAAGATGTATATATAAGAGTCACCCTAATAAGTGATTGCACTGGCAATGCTGCATTTTAAATAACTACAGCAATTAATAACGATTAGTCATCTTGTCTGGTTGTGTCTACCTAGTTGGTGAGTGTATTCACTCAGTAAATAAATAAAACTGTAGCAACTTCTTGAATATTCTTGAATATTCTTGAATATTGCTTGCAGTATTAACTAATTGTGTTATATTAAATTTGTGATCAGTATTAGTCTCATCACATGAGCAATTATATGGAAAGAATGGAACTTCAGGATGATGCCAGAGCACAATTGTGCCATAAATTTTGTTATAATATACCAGAGCGTATCTCCAAAGGTGTAGAACATTTCTTCTATTTGTAAGTTATCATTATTATAGAATAAGATAATTTAATATTACATATTTTCTTTTTGATAAAAGCATAATAGTTTTATTCTATATATAGGCTTGGATTAAAGATCGCTCAAAATCCACTAAAATGGATATTGGGATGTTCTGTGGTAATATTGATCTGTATATTGGGCTTATTCCGCTTTCGACAAGAAAAGAATCCGATAAAACTTTGGAATCCTCCAGATGCTGACTTTGTACTTGATACTGAATGGCTAATGTCACATTATGAGGAAGCTTTAAGAATTCAAACATTTATTTTAACTGGAGATAATATTTTAGATCAACAAACACTAATTAAGGTAATCATGTAGTATACTATATTGGTATGCTTTATGATTGTGATTTTAATATGTTATATACGATTAATTATAGTGGAATATTATTTATGATTATAAAATAAATTTTTGTATTTATTATATGTTGTAGCTAAATGAAATAACTAAAGAAATGATCTCTGCTCAAACACCAATTGAGAAAATTTCCTGGACTGATGTTTGTAAGAAGTAAGTGAAAAGTATAAACTTTCTATTAGAATTAGTATGTTTATGTAATAATAATATATTCAATAATAATATTTATATATGCGATAATAATAATATTTAATTTACATATCAAAAATTTCTTTTTATTGTGTGATCATAAGTAAAAACTTGATATATTTATTGAATTACCCTTTAGTTAAGGTAATTGTTATGAAAATGTTTATTTACAGAATTCCTGCCATCTCTAGATATACAAATAGGAAAAAACGACAAAGCTCTCTTTTCGAAGATAATTTCTTCGATGATGATCTCTTTTCAAATATAAATAATAAAACATTTGAACCTGCTGTTCATGTTAACACCGAATTATACTGTAGCATATTTAACAACTTTCCTATGGCTTGCCTTATATTTAGCATCTTAGATATATGGGATTTCGATAGCGCCGAAATTGTGAAAGATACAACAGATGATATTATTAAAAAGATTAATACAGTGAAAATCAGTCCCACACTAGGTCATCATATGAACTTCAGTGAGCTTCTGGGAGGTATAACTCTAGACAAGGGAGGTAGAATTGTTGCTGCAACAGCTGTGAAAACTTACATGATGGTTCATGTTAATTTCCTTAACGTGGACATGGATAAAATCGGAAACGCCGCAGGAACTGCTGATTGGGTAAAGTGAGTTCGTATCGAGGCCTGAATCATAATCATTTTTTATTATAAATTATATATTGATATATATTATATATATATATAAAATTTTGAACCTCATAAATTAAGATTTATTTTACTGTTGAATACTAAAAGGCAAAAAAGAAAAAGAAACATCAGTAACAAAAATTATTTTTCTAAAATATTTTTATACTGTGTATGTATGATTTAGGCCTTAATAATATTTTTATTAGATTTCTATGAAGAACGAATAATATAAGCTTGCAAAATTATAAATTGTAATATCAATGATTAGAATAAAATGTTTTTTATTACATATAACACACTTTCGTGCACACACACTTTCGTACACACACACACACACACACACACACACACACACACACACACCACACACACACACACACACACACACACACACACCACACACACACACACCACACACCCACACACACCACACACACCACACCACCACACACACACCACACACACACACACACCCCACACACACACACACACACACACACACACACACACACACACACACACACACACACACACACACATACACGATCTATATGTAATATATGTCTGTTATTTATAAAATTTCTTTATTGGAATATTAAAAATATCTGACCATTATAGTTGCAATATTTATGTGAACTATTTTTCGATGACTTTCATGATAATCTGTTCTTCCATAGAATTATATAGATGTTGGATAATTTTGGCGCCTCATTAGTTTTAGATTATAATATTAACTTTAGTAATAAACACACACAAAAATGTAATGAATTAATCTATAAAAAGTTCGTTCGCATGTATGCAGGCAACAGAAGACGTGCTGAAATGGGAATCAGCTTTTCTCGAAACTGCAAAAAGGATTTCAAACACACTGCAAAACGAGAAAAACGAAAATACCTCGTTGATGTTTTACTATGAGGCTGGCAGAAGCTTCGGAGACATCAGCGGGACATCTATGTTTCAAGATATAGATAAATTGATTGTGGGAATTTTGTTAATGTTTCTGTACGTTTTGACGATTTTATCGAAATCAAACTGGGTAGAGTTGCGGGTAGGTTTCAGTATAATTATTTTACAAACATTTATTGCCTTCAATTAGCAAAATTTGCCCATTTTTCCTACAGTTTTGTCTCACCGCCACTGGCCTTTTATGCGTGGGTGGTGCGTTTATACTCGCAGTGGGTGTATGCTCTCTGATCGGAATTCCTTATGGTCCAGTACACACATCTTTACCATTTTTACTTTTGGGTCTTGGAATAGACGATATTTTCGTGTTCATGGCGTCATGGAAACAGATACATACCGACGAGTCCATTTTAAGTAAGCCGTTGATTGAGAGAGTCGGGTTTGCATTAGGACATGCTGGTTCTGCTATCACCGTTACTTCATTTACTGATGTCATGGCATTTATGATTGGTGCCTCTACGGTACGTACAAAATTAATTCTAGAATATCGTAGCTTAATAATCTGCATATTTAAATAAATATAATTTCAATACAGTATCTGATTTGGGCTGAATATTAACACTAGTAGAAATAGTGTTATTATTTAAATAATGTAATCTATAATTAAATTCCACATTCATGTTTTTTTTTAGTAATATTTTTATCATTAAATAACAATTTTATTCCTGTACTTTGGTTTATATACTTTTTGCCATATTATTTCGTTTATATGTTCTGCGAAAATATTTACGATTGAGAACAGTCATTGTAATGTCTGTAATGTGTCTTTTTCTAGGTATTACCGTCGCTCCAATCTTTCTGTATCTACGCTGCAATTGGAGTGTTCGTGACATACCTGATGCAAGTTACATTTTTCATCGCCTGCTTTACATTAGACGTTAAGAGAATAGAGAAAAAGAGAAATGGAGCGTTACCGTGCATCGTGCATGAGAATTTCACACCCAAGTTACTGGACCCGAGCGATACACCATCCTGGAAATTTATAAACGCTTTATACTCGCGTGTGATATTTACTACGCCTGGAAAAGTTATTATCGTATTAATTACAATCGCAACAGCGTCTATAAGCGTCGTAGGTTCTCTTCAGTTAAAACAATGGTTCGATCCAATATGGTTGTTGCCAAAAGACTCCTATTTGACTCAATATGTAGCTGTTCATAAGCAAAAATTTCCCGATCAAGGAATCGAAGCCTTCGTCGTTATGGGAGATGATATTGACTATCCTTTTGAATTGCCTAAAATAATATCGCTAACAGAACGTTTGGAAAACGCGTCTTTCATCCAAGCAGTAGAATCCTGGCCGAACGATTTTGCGAAATTCGTGTCAACATATTTTAATACAGGTTAGTTGAATTATATTAATAGAATACTTATTAAATTTTATTTATTTAATTTGTTTATCTTGAAAGTGACAACAATATCGGATATTGAATGTATTTAAAAAATTACATTAATTCGTTTTTATTAGATTTAAGGACCGCAAACATCACATATAACGACTTTGACCATTATTTATCGAAATTTCTGGTCAGTCGAGCCGGTGGCAAATATCAGAGAAATTTCTTCTTCAACGAGACGTTCAAGTGTGGCAGAAGCATTCCTCGGATCATCGTGGCGACCATTGACTTCAAGTTTACGAACTTTGCAGGCCCTCATCAATGGATACCGGCGATGGACGACAGTAAACGTATAGTTAACGGAGCAAAAATTCGCGGATTCGTAACAGTGTGGAGCAAATTTTTCGGACCGTGGACTACCGACAAACTGATCTCCCAGGAAGTAATACGGAATGTTATGCTGGCGTTAATCTGTGTCATGGGTACTACGACTATCATCATTGCCGAGTTGCAGACTTGCTGTTGGATCCTCCTCTGTGTAGTTCTCACACTGCTCAATGTTTGTGGCTTCATGTATTTTTGGGGACTGACGATAGACTTGGTGTCATGCATCGGTGGGTACATTTCACATTTTTTCACTTTACATTAGTTCCTTCTTTGTCTTGCTATTGAGTACGAGTCAAATAGCGTAAACCGAAGAGAAAGTACCGATACCATTGCAGCCTTAGTTATAATATTTTGTTGTTATAAAATGTTGAAGAAGGTCCCTCGAATTGTGCTCTCTTAATACGAAGATGTCAATGATATTATTATTACTATTATTATTATTATTATTATTATTATTATTATTATTATTGTTATGTATCTTTATCATTGCAATGTAAACTTCCTATTGCTTAAGGATTCTTAACTGTAAAGGTATATCCGAAGAAGTTACAGAATTGCTCTCACAAAATATCCGAGAATCAAACATCATACTTACCGATGTACTCGTACTTCTACTATCTCGTGTAAAGCTGAAAAATAAGATTCCTTTATCATCGAATATTGATGCACTTATAGAGAAAACAATCGCATAATACACACGCAGGTCGTTTCCATTGTCTCTCGTGAAAGAAGTTCCTTTTTCCATTCGAATCTTCTTCAGTCGTGTGAATGTGCGTTTGGCTGACTGACTGCTACTTCAGTGGAGTATCCTTTGCAGGTCTCGAGCTGGCCATTGGTCTGAGTGTGGACTACGCTGCGCACGTGGCGCACGCCTTTTTGAATGCTAAATCGCGGCAGGACGACTGCGATTCTCGCACGACACGAGCGTTAGTCGCGGTCAGGCACATCGGCGCGGCGGTTGCGTACGGCGCCGGCTCGACGATGCTCGCCATCTCGATGTTGGCCTTCTCAACGTCCTACGTGTTCACAGGCTTCTTCAGAATATTCTTCTTGGTGATTGTGTTTGGACTTTGGCACGGGCTATTCTTCCTGCCGATTGTATTGAGCATCATTGGACCGCGAAGCTTACGTATCGTGACGCAGCCACAGCCGATGTCCGAGAAGGCTCCCATGGCCGACGACGAAAATTGAAGTGCGGAGAAACGGATAGTTCTTTCAGGCATCCTGGTTCTTTATCAATAATATTTATTTTTGGTTCAATAAACATACAAAATTATTACACTATCCGTACTATTAATCACACATTTATACAAAAATAATAATAATAATAATAGTAATACGTCGGATAATTTAAAAGCGACATTATTTATAGATCTTTATATAATATATATATATTGAGATTAAAAAAATTATATATATATTTATATATAAGAAATATAGTAAACAAGTACAAAATAATGTAGCAAGGTTGATATAGATTTATTATCAATTATCATCGATCGTCGGAAAGGAACATGACTATTATAAACATAACGTAATCATGTTTTTGTTGGAGGCGTTTAATCCTTTATGTATAATCGTAATGAATGTTTATGACGTAAAAATGAGCGGCGAGGGAGCGACCTTTGGATTGATTGGCGAGCTCCCTCCGCTGCCTCTCTCAGTCTTGCACAGTCCATAGACATTCGCTCGACCTTTCACACGCGACCCCGTCCTCTTTGTCCCTTCTTCCACTCGTTCCTTCTACCCCTCTCGGTACCGTCGGATCACGGCCGATGGAACGACGTGTGCGAGAGGGGCCGGAGTACGCGTACGGGTCGAACAAGACGCAGATAGAGAGGCGGCAGGGACGTAGTAGGACACGTATTCTTCGTACGATCGCACACGCGTAACCGGAAACATACATACATACACACACACACACACTCACTTTCTCTCTCTCTCTCTCTTTCTCTCTTTCTCTCTCTATTGGGGCACGCGTACGTTGTCCACATTCAAGCACACAACGGTAGTTAGACTGCCGGGGGGCAGCAAGCCACGCATGAATGATACGGGGCGAGATTAATTCTTATTACACATCTCCTTAGTTAAGTCGAATTTTACAAATCGGGATCGTACATTCCATAATTGATGAGGAACCATCGATACAATAATAATCATAATCATAATAATATTCACTTAGCAAAACGTGCCGATCGGTAATTGTGGCGAATGACGCGTGATGTGAGCACAGTTAGTTTGCGTTTACGACGGGATGTCGGGGCTATTCGCGGAGGATGGGGGGCGGGGGGGTTTTCGGGAGCACAGAAGGAACAGCGGGGTGATCCGATGGTACACGGTATCGGGCGGGGAAGGAGCTCGAGGACGACGATGACCGAGGGCGGTAGAGGGCGAGGAGAGTCGCACGTCTGCTCGCCGGGGGGTACTCGAGGTACACGCACTTAGGGGTACACCGTGGGAAAGACACTCAGGGCAGACAGACACCGACATAGAGACTAGGCTACCGACTATACGTAATATCTATCTAAACGTGTAATTAGCGTACGCACCGCGTACACACACACACACACACACACACATACATCCGGTACGTCCGCACTCCGCTCCGCCTTTTTGCATGCAATTCGACGGAGGGCGCGTCGGAGAAGCGCTCTCGCCGGTTTCGTATTTCCCTTTCCTCTTGTTTCCTTCTTTCTTTTCCTTTTCTCTCTCTCTCTCTCTCTTTTTTTTTATTATTACTCTTATCTCTCCCCATTTTCTCGGTTCCTTTCTCTTTATTATCGTTTTATTATAATCAGCGATCGCGTCGTAGTCGTGTCTCTCTTTTCCTCTCTTCTTTCCTTTCTTTTTTTTTTTTATAGTAAACGCTATGTAGTCTTTATTACTCAAGCTTATGCCCAAAAATCTACCAGAGGCACTTTGGGTTTATTAGTACCATTTGAAGTCGGCGTGCGCGGGGGAGGGTACCGCACGCCCCGTCCTCCTGCGCGGAACAGCGGGCGAGCGACGTGAGAGCACGTGTCTTCACGCCTCATCCTTGAGAAAGCGTTGGTTGGTTGATTAATTGGCTGTCACCCGTCGTCGTCTCGTTAGTCGTTAATCATTTCTCGCCTCTTCTTCCGTCGCGGCTTCCTCTAGACGCGATTATTACCCTGTCTGGCGATGCCTTCGCCACCCGCGTACGTCCTACCACTGTCTTTCCCGTCTTCCGGCGACCTTCCACCCCGCCCTCCCCCAATTCCTCTCTCCCTCGTGAGCCTACCAACTCCGTATTCTTCTTCCCGCTTCCTTACCTTCCTTACCGCGATCTTCCGATGTCTTTTTTTTTCTTTTTTGAGCAATAAATACTTTCTCCACGTACACACTCGTTTGCGCAACGGCGTGCCACGCATTTTCTCCGATAAGAAGTCAGAAACGCGTCAGCTGATCACGATTTCGAGCCGCTAATCATGAACGTATAAAATCAATTGTGATAAAAGAACAATAATATATAAGATATACTGCATCGTATTTCTTTATTATATTCCCGTTACTACGTAAGAGTATAGTAAAGAAGCACTAATGCCATCATACTTATATACCATCATTTGATGTTCTATCATAGTCGATTACCATGCAGGTTCGTGGGCAGTGGCTCGCAGTCGTGACTGTTCGACGCGCTCCTGCCTTCGTCGGGCGGAAAAACGCGTGCAAACCGTTGTGCAAGCGAGTGTGCAACTGCACATTGAATTGACGCACAGGACACACGCACACGCGCATACACGTCGGGCATCGTCATTCGCGCTTACCAGCCAGCCGCACGCATTGACAGAACACTGACGCCACTGTTGGATAAGGGCGAGAGAGCTGTGTGAGTATACTCGATGACGCCTGATCGCGCGAAGAACACTCGGGCTTCGAATCTGTTTAGCTTCCTATTCCCGAAAGTGCGTGAAGTCGCAGAGCTGGAATCGAGCGTGCCGCAGGAGCGAATTTTCAATATCACGCGCGGCATTATAGTGGTCGCGGTATTGCGATTTGGCGATTTGTGCGTATAGATACGAGGGGGAACGATAGAGTTTTTCGAGAAAGACGCGCAACAAATCCGTGCAGTCGTCCCGATCGGGCAACTCTTTATTTTCCGAGGCGGCGACCTTCCGGCGATATGTCAGCACCCAGACGTGAAACTCCAAAACGACACGTGTGCTGCCTTCTGGGTACTGTGTGCAATGCTTTCGGCTCTCCACACCACAAACACTCACGCACGCACGCATACATACGCACACACACTCGTTCCATTTGCTGTCACATGCACACCAATATGGCTACATCCACAGAGTTAATGTTACACTTTAATTAATGATTATCAATTCAATATCAATTCAATATCAATGTATTACAATCAGACAATACTCAACAGTGATCGTTATTCATTATATATTACAATAATTAAGAGTGACAACAACATGACGACGGAGGCGTTGAAGCATTACAAGGGGCAAGGGAAGAGGGATGAGGAAGGGGACTAGGAGGAGCGAGAGAGAGAGAGAGAGAGAGAGAGAGAGGGGGAAGGGAGGGGATTGAAAGTGTAGCATGAGATGAATCGTGAAGAAGGTAAAAAGGAAGAGCGCAGGAGCTTTGATAATGGACATGCTACAAATGGTGTATGAAGGAGACGAGAGAGAGAGAGAGAGAGAGAGAGAGAGAGAGAGAGAGAGAGAGAGAGAGAAAAATAGAAATAGCCATTGCATGGGATAAGGGAGGAGAAAGAGACTTGAAAAGAGATGGGAAGGAGAGAGATCAGTGATTATATGGAGTAGCGACGATGACATCGGTGATAGATGCACGACGATAGGGAATGAACGATTAAATGACGAAATGGAACGATGATTCGGAGACCAAGGAGGGGAAGCACGCACACTCAACACAACCGTCACATCGAGCTGGCCTCGCGCGCGGCCATAGTCCATAGATTAATTACCTATTAACTAATACACAGTCTGTCTCCGTTGCGCCGGATGACTTCCTCCTGTCTTTCTTCCTTCCTTCCTTTCTTTCTCGCGAGCGTCGTGTAGGTATACGTAATACACCATGTAAATACGCGCGTGCGTGCGGTACGGCGCGTTGCCGCGGGAGCGACGAGAATAATTAGAATAGCGCTTCGAAGCGTGAGCGAGAGTGAGACGTCGCCAACTACGTCCCGTTTTGTGTGTACACATGTGTGATAAAGGTATATGGCAAAACTCGGCGTAAATTGCCAGCCTACTGCTCGCACGCGCGCCTCTCCGTCGGATACTAGATATACGCACACGCACACAACAGGCATGCTTGCGCCGGTATAAAGTGTATATATGTACACATATACATACGACATACCATCCATATATTTATATATATATATATATTTATATATCGTTTAATTACTCACTGTTTATCCGTAATTACCGTTAATTTTTTAAAATTCGTCAGTTCGTTAATTCAAAAAATTTCAGCTAGTAGCGGTGGATGGAAATGTTTCTTCGTTAAAAATCGCCGATCGCCGAACTCCCGAGCGCCGGCAATCAACTGTTTTTTAAACACATTTACAAATATCAATCGACCGGCTTGATGATTCCCTCACTCGCGCCTTATCACTAGTGCTTCATCATTATTACATTCATCTTAAAATCACTCGCGATTTATGCAAAACGTGCAAATCATTGCGCGCAGCGAGGGGGGGAAAACGTCGCGGCCCCGCTGCTCCCTCTCTCTCTCTCTCTCTCTCTCTCTCTCTCTCTCTCTCTCTCTCTCTCTCTCTCTCTCTCTCTCTCTCTCTCTCTCTCTCTCTCTCTCTCTCTCTCTCTCTCTCTCTGCCCTTGCACTCGGCTCGGATGCCGAGGTGTGATCGTATATTTAATATCCTATTACAATTACTCATGATTTTTGATATCTTATGTACAATATGCGCGCGCGGCATGTGCTTATGATTATGGCCACACCTTACGAACCGGCGACCTCTGAGAAGACTTCCTCGACACACATATCTCTTTCCTTGTAACACTTAGTCCTTTAATTAACTTCCTAGTTAACTAGCGGCATGCACTCGCCGTGCGGGTCCTCCCAAAAGTTCACTCGCGCGATTCGCGTTAAGTTGGCGAAAAACTGGCTTGTTTGCACGGAACCTGAGACAATCGATTACAAGGTAGGCCAGTCAGTCCCCTTCGGTTCGCGCTGTCGAGAATATACCGAACCGCGATCGACCGCTCAGCAAGGTAACTCTTGACGAGCAGGCTTCGTCGGGTGCTTCATGGAATTCATGGTACATCAGGGGTTGTCCGCCGCCATTATATTGTGCACTTGCTCGAGTTTGTACGCCAGTCTCTGCTTCTGCGAGAACTCGTCCTCCTCGAGAGTGACTATCAGTTGTTCGTTGTATTTACCCGCGTACGTATATAGATCGTATAAAGCACAGTTCGTATTAAACTCCGTTGTGTGCAACTGGAAGAAAAAGAGAGATATGTAAATGAGAGAATGAAGAGAGATGAAAATGAGAGAACGTACATATATGTTAGTTGGTAATCAAAGGTCGAGGCAAAGCGCGTTTCTTAAATTTATATCATTAGGAACATAAGAAGAGAAATAAATACCCTCGATTCTTCGGCAAGCATGGCATTCATGTCTTGATCAGATATGGCTGGCATGATTTTGATATCTGAGTAGTAACGCTCTACCCACTCTTTGTACACTGGAATGTCCTTCGCGTATAACAGTTTTGAACTCGGAGAGTCCTTACCTGGGAACAACGAGAGAGAAATCTCTTTGCGTATATATTATCAACACAAATGCGCACTACGCTACTTTTTTATATATCAAAGCCAACTTCTTAATGGAGACGGGGACACGATGAAATTACCACGAGTTACTACATACCTAATCTATGGTCCGACGTTGAGCAGCTGTCCATGAACGTCTGCGCCACGACGGACAGACACGAGTCCACGATGTTGGACTTGTGTATGTCGAAAATGAAGTTCGGATTTTTTATAAGATTGACCCAAAACCTGAGCGGAAGGGAATTGCTCTTCCACGTGTGGACCACCTCAGGGTCAGATATGCCGTGTTGCAGCGCTTGGTCATCCATAAAGTCAAACATATATTTAATAGCGAGAGGAAGCGCCGAGCCGCGGTGGGCAGTGCTGAATATGGTCTCAAATAGATCGTCAACGAATTTCTGGAGTGTACCCTTCGTCGCTAATAACCTCGTCAGGTATATCTCCGAGACCATCTTGTTACCGCGGTCGCCTTCCTTTCGTGCATCAGAGTCGTGGTGCTTGACCAAATGCCAGATCTTCATACCACCGTCGTGGTTCTGATTGAGCGGCGAGGTGGCGCGAGAGAGCGGAGGACTGGCCGAGCTAAACTTACTGAGGTTTAAAGTCTCATACTTGTGCGATTTGTCTGTCTTCTCCGACAAGATCGAGAGATTATATATAGAAGATTGTTTGGAGACTAAGTTGAGCGACGCTGCGTCTGGTACCCTGTAGTGATTCAAAGTGTTCCTCTTTTTCCATTCGCCCTCCGTCTTCGTTGTCGAATCTTCGTCGTAGAGAATTAATCTACCGGATGCGCCAGTTCGCCATTCTGCAATTCATCATTCATCAGGTTTCGTCAGGTATAATGTGAGGGATGTCTCGTTTCGATTCGTGCGAAATGTATTTTCATGCGAGAGACATGATTGTCGCTTACCGAGATCGAGGTCGTCCTTTCGCGGTCTTTGGCTGTAAGGAGTTGCTCTGTAAATCGTGTCCAACGCTTTCTCCTTCACTTGAGATATCGTGTCACAATCGAGAACCTTGACCGGCACGTTTTCCGTGTTGGGATCCATCCCGCCAACGAATACGGTTTGTTGCGATATTGAGACGTAGACCGTCTGAAATTTCAACAGAAGTATTATATATCACGAAACATCAAATCGCGCGTTCATTGAATAATAAGCTGGTTGCTTGCTCTCACCATGGGCTTAAAGTCAATGGATTGCCTGATCAATTTCTCCTCCGATAAAGAGTAGCGTGCTTCAGATGTAATGGCATCTACAGGACCCTTATCAACTTGCTGTTTTACCGCGCGAAACAGCACGTACAACGGTTCACCAGCACACTCTCGCATGAATTTGTACAAGAGAAAGGTGAACCAAGCAGACAGCATCTTCTCAGCGACACTTTCGGTTCTGGTAAAAAGGATTCGTATTATTGTCGGGTGAAAATATTGCGAAAATTGAAATATTTCGGGCGAATATTGAAGAGTACCCCGAGATCATCGAGAAAGACATCGTTATGCGCCTTACTTACCGCCTAAGGAACAACTTAGGATGACTCTTGCCCTCGGTACATTTCTCGATGAGATCCGCTAGAAGAGTCTTCAGAATGTCCGTGCAATACTCCATTTTGCTCTGAAGCGTAACCATAATGAGACTGGCGACGTTAACGCGGTCTCTCATGGAGAAATAACGATTGCTTTCGAGTGTGCGTACAAACAGCAATAAGAAGGTCTTGTTCATTATTAGCTGCCCGAATAGACGTAGCCCTTTCTCTTTTCGCACCAATTCCGGCCTATCCCACTGCAGCACCGGGCTGTTGTCGTCACTGGGGAATAATATCATCATTGCATACGTGCGATAATCAAGGAACGGTATGCCACCACTGGTCAGATCGCCCGTGAGATCTGTCATTTCCGTTTGCAGTTCGGCGAAGGCTTCCTTGCACTCAGCGGCGACCCGCAGCTCCAGAATGTCCATCTGCTCCTGCATGTTCTTCAGCACTCTATTGCTCTCGGTGGACTTTCTACGGTAGGCGATGAGGAATGCTATGAATACGAAGATCAATATCACAATGGTGGCGATCACACCGATGAGCGCGGGCTTCGACAACGGCCCATTGAGTCCAGCTGGTAACGCGTAGCTGAGTTTGCCGATGTTGTAACGAAGAGTACCGCCCACTATCAGTATCACCTCCGGTAGTTCCTGCTTGTTCGGCAGGCCCTGAGAGTCGAGTGCTGGCGGCTGTGTCAAAGGTGGCCGACAAGTGAGCTGCTGCCGCGACAAGGACGTGACATTGCAAAAGGCATTGCCTATCTGCACGACTACATCGGACTCTTGGCAGGCTCGGTCGAGATGCTGACCGTTGATCGTCAGGTAGTCGCTCTTGTAGTACTTGATCTCCTCGTCGAACACCTCGTAGATCGGGTTCGGATAGAGGAGGAAATGATTGAAGCCGTGCTGCGAGAGATTCTGCACGCCGGTGACGTTGTCCATGCGAAAGCCGTACTCCAGAGAGAGCGGCCGCTCGGCGTCGAGTATCACGTGATCGGGCACTTCGATCGTCGGCGACTTGCATACCATGCTCTCTTGACTGTGCACCTCGCACTGCGACACGAACATCTTCTCGTCGAAGTAGACGTACATCTGCGGGCTCTGTATGTAGCCGAGATTCTTGCCCGTCACCGAGATCTTTATTCCGCCAGCCGGAATCCCCTTCGGCACCTTCATCTGTCCGGCCACGCCGCTCTCCACGCTTTCGATCGTGGGATCGTCCACATACTCGAAGAAGCCATCGTAAAGGCGCTTGCCGCCATCGAAAGACATCTTCAGCATGCCGCTTCGCTTCCGATCGCTCGGACTGGTCATGCACAAAGCCTCGTTAGGCTCAGCACTTATGATGGAGCAGGGCAGGTCGTCGATGTCCGCATGAATGGTGCTGCCGGCGTTCATGTAGTTGCCGGTGATCTTGATGGTGGTGCCTCCGCTCAGGGGACCGTACTTGGGCGATATCGAGATGATCTGCGGATCCACAAACTCAAAGTTGTAGTCGGACTCTCCGCGGAAATCCTCGATCTTGACGATTACGGGACCATTCCTGCCTTCCTGTGTGCCGGGCCCGTCGACTCGGCACACGATCTGCTTCGTTCGTATGTAGAGCTCCTCGTAGGGTAGACATCGCATCCCGGCCACGGTGACGCCTCCAGCTATATCCTGTCATGTGCAATGAGCAACGATTAGCATCTTCCAGTCCAGCCGAATACTATACCCAACTGATGTACTGATATCCAACTGTATATTCATCGATGAAGGAAGTTTGATATCACAAATCGCAATGCGAAGCAACGCGAAATAGATATGAACGCAGATTCGCAAGTCATCAGTATTTTCACAATTTAGGATAATTTTTTTGTGCACGTGCAAATAACGTGGTTGACATCGACGTTGCGTTGTGTATGGCAAACGGAAAGTCTCCCTTACCTTGAAAGTCTTGCCGAGGTTGATACCCCGTATTGTGACGTTCGTGTTGCCCTCCCAAGGACCCATTGTCGGCTCGAACGTGTGTATCTCCGGATTTGGACAAGTGGAATTGCTGTTTAGCCACATGCCCACACCGCGGTCACACTGATCCCTCACTTCGCATCTGTCCGAGGTCTGGCACCAGCCGCAGCCGTACTTCGTCGGCAGGGCCAGACACATACCGCAGTTGTCCGCCATGTCGCGGCATCTGTATATCACCAGGTGTATGTTGTCCGGATTATCCAAGGGCTTGGAGCCGCCCCAGATCACGGCGAAGGGCACCGTGATATTCGGCGCGCGAGAAGTGTAGGAGAACTCGGTGTCGTCGCAATAGATCGTGTCGGCCAAGAGGCGCGCGTTCACGCTCGTCACGCGACCCTCGATGTTGAATTGGCACACGAAGCGCGTTTGTATGATGAATTGCTGAAAATGCCGCATTTTTATCGTAGAGAAAAGAGATACAGCCTCGCGCGCGCGCGCGCGCGCGCGAGGACTGCGCGCTGAGCGAACGATTTCTTTCGTCGAAACATTCGACTCCAGACCGTGTGTTTAATTTTGTGAATGCTCTGTGAGAGATCTTGTCGCTCATTAGAATTTGAACGTCATTTTTTCTTTTTTATCGAAATAACATTGCAGATAATCGTATACGTTAACGTCTTGAAAAGGGTATAGGCAAGAAGAATGAAGCGTTTGGTAATTAATCCTATCCTAATAATGACATATGACATACCCCAATGATATGCACTTTGACCCGTATCGCCTTTTTAATGCCGGAAGACACGAGGATCTCTTGAGAATCGGTGGCGTTTATAGTAGGACAAAAACCTGGCCCACTTCTGTAGCTTGGTCCCATTCTCTGTAAAGCGCAAGTTCGTCAGAGGGGCAAGCTGATACTTTTACCTTATAGCTACCGCTGCGCTACTACCGGAATGCTGCTTGAGATTCCAGAAAACTTCACTATTGTTCTTTTCATTTTGGTCTTATTTGTCACGTTTACTAATGTTATTGTTATCCGATGTTGATTCACTTGCTCGTTTCAAACGTCATCACCACGTTGAAGAACCACATGAGAAGATTCAGGGCGTGGAATTTTCATCTCAAATTAATTGATAATCGCGCGATAATGTTCACGGATCGGATCCAAAGTTTTAAACTTCAAAACGAATCAAATTGGAGTCGAAAATGGATTTGGTTGATACGTATTAACGTGTAATTTAACAACCGGATTGCGATTCTGCCTCGGAACTAGACGCTCGGAGTCTGCGGCGTGTGTAAACCGCTTATCTGTGAAAACGTTAAGTCCAGTTTTGAAACATTATTCAGCGAAACGCGGCTGAAAGCGTGGATACGATATTAGCACGGGATTTTCTCTCTCGGCTGTTCATGAAATAAACGGGATCGTCAAGTGTTTGTAAACTCCGGAGGATCACCGGTTATTAATCGTAGTAGAATCGAGACGCGATTTTGAGGGAACGACATACGACGAGAGCGTGAAGAAAAAAAAAAAAAAAAAAAAAAAAAAGAACCAGGCAATCAATTCCCATCCCCCCGGATAATCTATCTACTTGTAACGCATTCGATTAATTCACGCTGAACTCACGCTGACTCCCGTAACGAGGATATCGTTCCGACAGTTCTCCGCCGTGTCGTGCGTGCATCGATGGCCATCCACGCACCAGTCGCACGGGAAGCTCGATGACACGCACTGTGTGCACGAGCTGTACGTGTTGCAGTCAAAGAAGGTGAAGTTCGTCGCCACTAGGTCAGGTCCATTGGTCATCCTGACGGACAATTTCGCCGTGAAGTGATGCCGGCCCGGCGGTATCGACGGCAACAGGTCGGTTCTCGGAGTGGTGCAGTTGACGCCGTAAGACTTCCTCGAAGCGTTCGTGATCAGGGTCTTGTCGAGGGCGGAGAAGGCGCATAGGAACTGGCCCGACAGGGTTGGCAGGTTCTCGATCACGAGCTCGAGGGTCCTGGCGGTGGTGCGCTGCAGTTGGTCCGGGGTGACGGTGGTGATCGTCGTGCATCGGCCGCTCTTGTAGGAGATCCAATAGAGCGGATCCTTGGCAGCGTCCTGACAGTCGCTGCGCAGGTTGCATTTATTCTCCAACGAGCACCAACCGCAGTACGGGTCTTTCGCGCCCAGGCAGTCCCAGCAGGTCTTGTAGACTGAGCACTCTTGCACCTTGACCTTCGAGACCTTCTTTTCCGTCAGCACGTAGAGATGCATCAGTTGCGAATCGAACAGTAGATCCGGGTTCACCGGGGAGCCAGGGTCGATCTCGAGATCGCCGTATTCCAACGCCAACGTCGAACTCTCCACGACCACCTGAAAGAAGAAGAGGCGTTTTTTTCGCTTGTAGGAAGATCGATTGGCGCGATGAACAAACGAGCTAGTTCCCACAAGCTCGTTGCGATGAGAGGGATAAACGGAGTTATGATGTGCTCCCCCTGTGCTTCACCCACGCAAGATAATCTATCATTGAATATACATATATTGCTAAAAGCTTGAGAATCGTCAATACTTTCGACATTTTGTCGAAAGTTTCATCAACGACGCAGGCTCGTCGCGATTCGTCCGAGCGAGGGGGATGGAAAAAAATCAGGAATCGACGGTAATCGGCGGATTTGCGCAGAATTAGAGGGACACACACACACACACACACACACACACAGTCGTTGATGTAGATTGCAGTTAGCAAGCTCGTATAATATATTTATCGTAATGCCGGAGTGCTCATATTAATGAAACGTGGATGACACGAGCGGGATGAAAAATTAAATATTCACGACGGAATTATGAACAACTGCTAGCGGCACAACCATTGCCGGGTAATGCTTACTTCCGTTTTAGTATTTATTGGTTATTAATTATCGATATTAGTTCTGACGTTCATTGCGTATTCTGTTTCCCCGATCGCGAGAGGGAATATTTCCAAAAATTATTTGATACGCGGTGTCGTGCCCCCCAGCCATCCCCTTCCCACCGCGCATTGCACAGTCCTCGCGACTCGCGGGATATATCAGCGATTTTAATAGTAACGACGTATAATAATTCGGCACGGGGCAACATCCGACAGCGGCGTGAATTTTGCAACGACCCGCTATTTTACTCCCGTATTACGAAAGTTACATGAATATTTATCCCGTCGCGTGCGCTCTCGCTCGCGCGGATTCGTCCTCCGCAAATTTCCCAAGTGGTTACACCGTGGACTGTCGCAGGCGAGTTTTTTTGCAACTTCAATGTCGGCTGCTACTGGTCGCCGGTGTCTACGTTTAAAATTGCACTCGCCGAAAGTAACAGCGTAGCTGCAATTTGTACGCTATTATTTCGACGTAAAACTCACGACACGACGCGACGCGCGGACGCGGGGACATGACGACGTGGACGCGACGCGGCCTCGCGACTTTCTCGTTGCGACGACGACGACGACGACGACGACGACGACGACGTGGCACTATCATCTACCAGGTGCACTCGCAGCATTCATTTTCTCTCAGACCTCATTGCGCGCGTCTCATTCGCGGTCGCGGTTAAGGGGTCGCAAATTAAATCCCAGCCCGAGACCCGGGGCTTTCAATCGGCAGCGAAACAATGACGACGGGCGCGGGTGGCACAGGTCCTTCTCCTCCCCCGACCAGACTAGAACAGAATCGTTCGCAGGCCTAATAAAAAGGTCATACTCGCGAGTAGTAATAACAGTAATCATCTGAGCGCGGCACGACACGGATCGCGGTGACGTTTAGCTCCGGTATTACCGAGGTTGGTTATTCGAGAACGAGCGACATTCGCTGTGCTCGCCGGTAGTTATTATCGTCCCGGGGAATTCTCTCATAACGATTGTCACGACCCCGTCGACGGCGACGTAACGATCGCGTTATTATTCTTAGCTCCACGAGTCCCCAATCACCGATTTAATTAATCGAAAGAGGGGGAGAAAGATCCTCTTTTGATAATTAATAAAGGTACCGGAGGTCCACGGACCTGTTCGATTGATATTTCAATTAATTCTGCGAATCACCGAGAGAGTTTAGCTTTTAGAATTCCTTCGCTTACATTTCCTCCGAATATCACACACGGAGCGGCTTCCTTCTCAATTTCGGACTTCTCTCTCATCCGCTTGCGAATTAGCCACTTGATGAACTCGCCGATTTCGGATTATCGCAGTTATCGATTCCACATCGACCGAGTTCGTTAATCACTACAATGAATACATAGAATATACGTAATGCCAAATAGAAAACGACATCGCTGAAAACGTGCCATTCTGTCGAGGCAGAGAGATGGAATAGTTAAGCATTTGCGTGTAATTTACAACAAATTGAATTGAGAGAGTGAAACGGAGTTGGCGATAAGCGCATGTAGCAGGCAGTCGCTATTCCGATTTAATTAACAAATATTAATTAAGTCGCGTCGCGACGCATCGTGCCTGAATATAAACGGCGCGAATCGAGCCGACCGACGTGCAATTTGCTGCAATTTGGGAAACATCTGTTCGTCTATTCCACAATGCTCATTAGAACGATAATTGATGTTCCCTCATGAAGACAGAATTATTATTATTTTCGTCGTATCGTCTCAATCGTTGCATCCGCCACAAATCGGTGTATCGTGTGTTTCGAAAATTACATTCGACCGAAAGTATCAGGGAATATCAGGAAGATGGTCAATTGCTCTTGGATTTCGCTGTGCGGCATTGATCGAAAGTCCCGCCGCGATTGCGTGTGTGACAAGCCCAACTCCTTAATTAAAAAAACCCTTGCATCGACGATGCGGTCTTACGAGATGCAAAGTGAGAAGAAAAGGGAAATAGAGAGCAAAGTTCGAGGAAGAATCCTAGAGGAGGGATCCTAGGCAAAGGCCAAGGGCTGTCCACTTGGTACCGACCAACATTCGACCCTTGGCCGAGTAATGAGTCGTTACCTAAGACAGGCAATCACGGCAAGCGTGCGGCAAAGTATGTTACAATCTCGCCGTCCGTAGGTATACGGGCGGGGAAATAATAACAATAATTACGACGCTACCGAGTGTGTCGGTGTGCTGGTGTTGGTTAATTCTAAGGTTCGCCCGTAGCCGCGGCTTGCGGCGGGCTTTTTAGCGTGGTTTCGCGTCGATGCGGTAACGCGAGTGCGCGATGCATGTTCGCGCATCATTCGGCCTCGGTAAATCCCCGACGTCGACGCACAAAGAGACTTTAATAAACGCGCGCGGATAAAGGCAAGATCGGCGAGGTTGAGGATGAGCACAGGTAGGTAGGTGGGTAGGTTAAGAAAGGGAGAGGGGGAGAGGGGGGGGAGAGAGAGAGAGAGAGAGAGAGAGAGAGGAAAAGATAAAGAAAGAAAGAAAGAAAGAAAGAGGCAGAAGGGTTGGGGAAGGACGGAGGAGCAGATAGAAATTATTTCTTAATGGAAGAAGGAGCACCGGAGAGACGGTATACCGGAGAACGGACGGAACAGGGGTTAGCCGAGTAATGATGAAGAAGGAGACAAGGTGAAGGCGCGAGGGTCTCGCAAGAAAGTCTCCCCGCGTAGACGAGCGCAAGCATAACGGACGAGGATGCGACGTAAAAAGGACGGCGCCGATAAAATAAAAGTCCGATAAAGTTTCGAGGGCGGAATGGTGGGGTCGGAGGAAGAAAAGGACGTTATCGGCTGGACGAAAACGCGGAAGAAAACTCGATGAAAATAGAACGCATCGATCGCGGTGGTTCGACCGGCCCGGCCGGCGCGAACGAGCAATCGTTATCTCGAAATTCAAACCTCCGTCTGGGACTCGAGTGCAATTTAGATCACGAAGTAGACATCAAGTAGTAATTATCCAAATTCCGTAGAAATAACGCTATTAATCCAGCACACCCGCATGCAAGTTCGCGGACGAGGGCCAACCCCGCCGGGACACCCCCGCCGCGCAAGGTCGAGATATTAGCACGAAATAGCGGACATTACTCGATCGAGGTATTACTTAATTAACGTTCTGCTTCCCGTGTATGAGTAATGTACAGCTAAAGTGAGCTTCCATTGAAACGAGCAATCATGCATGCGCGCGCGTTCTTGTTGTTCTTCGGTCGTTCCGCGTGATACATCGAGGCAAAACCCCGGCGAGACCAGAATTTTTCTTTCTTTCTTTTTTCTTTTTTTAGGAAGGACGGAGCGAGCGCAGGTGTGAGAGAATGCGGAAGAAAAATAGCGTGTATA